TGTCTGTGAGATACACCCCAACAATCAGACTTTTTGGTCTGTAAAAGATACACAGCATCATAAAATGAAAATTCATCTTCGTCCTGTGCTAAATACACAATTTCGTGGTGATGACACTATTTTGGATTGATTAAAACAACTCACTATTGGGTAAACTCCAAATAATGCACAAATGCAAACTCATAACATCAAGTATGCTGTTACCATTTTGTTGTTCAGACAGACTAACTGAAAGTGCTTCCCTTTTTTATTAGGCCTAATCTGTCAGAAAAACCTGGGTAAGCTATTTTGACCCTGTCTATTCCCTTTACATTAAAATTCTTCACAACAGTTAGGTTTTATGAGTATGAAGAAGGATTAGACTAAATTAAAGTTACGGATTATGCCAGGGATTAAGTTGTTCAGGTCCAGATCTAACACACAAGTTTCCTTCTATTAGTTTTTCCTCATGCTAATAGGGTCAGGGTTCTGTCCTCTCACACTAATTGTTAAAACTAACCCGGTTTGTTAACATGTCCTCTTGATAGAGTGCTATGCATATCTTAAGCAGCAGCGTATAGAAGAAGCAGCATGTTTTACTATTAATGGCATATTTCAGAACATGTCAATCAATCTAATACCAACAGCACTCTAAGGAAATACATTTTGGTAGAACAGTGAGAGGTAGTGAGTGACTGACCTACCCATTTAATAGGGTCATTTCATCAAGAACGGAAGGAGTAGCTTTCATTTGAACATTTACGAAGATGAAGATGTGTCATTTTTGTCTGCTATGACATTTAATGAACGAACAGAATAGTTCAACTAAAAATGAAAATTGTCATCATTTACTCACCCCTGATGTCATTTGTTACCTGTATGACTAAGATCTTTTCAGTGAATTGTTTGATTCAGAAAGATTAAAATGAGAAAATTTAGGTTTGAAAAGATGTGAGTGAACTACAGACTGTAGTGAGGTTAGAATCTATAATCAATAATTACTTTTTTTTTTTAATTAATCAATATAGTTCAACTAAAAATGAAAATTGTCATCATTTACTCATTGTAAATCTGATGTCATTTGTTACCTGTATGACTAAGATCTTTTCAGTGAATTGTTTGATTCAGAAAGATTAAAATGAGAAAATTTAGGTTTGAAAAGATGTGAGTGAACTACAGACTGTAGTGAGGTTAGAATCTATAATCAATAATTACTTTTTTTTTTTAATTAATCAATAT